GGAACGAAGTGCTAGCTAGTGTACTTATATTGAGACGCCACGAAGTAATCCAAAAATCGAGGGTCCAGTCGGACCATTGTTCGAAACCGCACTCCGGTGGGGGCGTGATGGCTGCAGGGTTTGGAGGTGGAAAGACTTTGACAACGTGTTGCTCGAGCTGTGATTTGTCCTCTTCCAGCAGGAGTTGGCACATCTTTGAGTAACTTCCACACTAAGCCCATGCTAATCCAGCGCAGCCTTGGCCTTGGCCTGTTTTGGGGAGTCAAAGCTTACCCTGGAATGCTCATGCCGAGCACAGCCAGGACAAGATGTCGACATGCAGCGCTAGCAGCTAGAGTCTAGAGCACTGTTCAAGTTTGAGCCAAGTGTGATGCCTCTTACGTAGCACAGGTGCTGCTGCCCCGAGTGAAAGCATTCGTCTCAGTCTTGCAACGGAAGACAAAAACGGTCACCGTTCACTCTTCAACTTGTGGCTGAGGCAAAGAAAAGGAAGACGACAAGAGCACCCCCAGCAACAGTTCGAACCCCAGCTTGTCTCTTTTGGACTAATGTTTTCCGGGGCTGCACAACACCGGAAGGTGTGAACCTGGGGAATGCGTCGTCCATCCCGTTTGGAAGCATGGCAATGGACACGAGATCTGATTGAGCCAAGGGGCAAGTGCCTGAAGCTTTGCAAGTTGTAGCTCGTGCCTGCTGGATGGCACAACAGCTTCCCAGGCATGCGGACAGCATGGCATAGTGTGTAAGGGCGCCTAAATGGAGAACGATCCACACTTGATTGAATGCATATGCCGAAAGAACAGCAGTCGGCAGGCAGTTGGCAGGTTGTTGTGGAGATCACCCGCAACGGGTGCTTTTCTCCCAAACAAATGCACTGCCGCTGCTTGCGCTCCCAGGGTCATGGTCAGCTGTTATATCGTCACGGTCTTTAGCAAGCCTTCACTGACGCTACTGCTGACTCCGCCAAGACACACCTTTCGCGGTGCTCGTTGTGCACCTGTCAGCCCAACAGCGAAACGAGATAGGCTCAGACCCCTGACAACACAATGAGCTCCTGAGATACAATTTTCGACACTCTGAAGATCAGAGCTTTGACCGATCGGCGCGGTTTCCAAAATCAAGGGATGGCCGAGGCTAGCGGCATCAGCAAGTGATCGGGAACCGAAACCATGTCGCCCTGGTCGTTTCTCGATGGTTCTTCAGGGTATCATCTACTATCAAATTAACAAGCTTGGAAATCGCTACGGTTAAGACTCCTGCTTTCCACTTCCCTTCACTTGTTGGCCTTTCATGAGAAGTCGTTCCGCATGACATAATCTCCTCGCTCGGAGAAGGCGTTGTATCATATCTTTGTGTCTGCAGCCACTTGTTTGGACGATCCAACCATGCACACGTAGTTCAGGTGCTCAGAGCAGTAGCATAATAAGCTTTCAGGTTCGCGGTTCTGAAGGCCTTTTTTCCTCTTCCAATCTCGTTCCAGCCGTTCATCTTCGACCATGAAAGCTGCTGCCTTGTTTGCGCTGGCATCGCTGGCGGTTCTCGGCGTGATCACCTCCTTAAGGGCCCTTTCCAACCACCGGCAGATGCTGTTGCAGAAGACCGCGGAATTGACCGCCTCCCTCCAGGACAGATGGGCTTTAGACATCTTTGATGAGCGAGACCCTGCAGCCCCAGGATCTCAAAGAGTAGATTCGGCAGCAGTCCTCCGGAACTCCGATCTCAAGTTTAGAACGGCTTGAGGTCCGCGACATGTCACAGAAGACTGACTCCGGAACAGCGGGCGAGATTCCTCTAGCAACGTCTTCGGCCGACGCTCCTGGAGCTGCAGAGCTCCTGCAGGATTGGCCTCCCAAGGCATCTCGGTCTTCGCATCGATCCATGCTTTCGACTACGCGTCATGAAGTCCTCCCTCTGGGCATCTACTCTGCCGCATCTTATGCTCAAGAACGTAGTTTCATACTAGTAGCAAAATCATCCCCTCATAATGTACTATGTAGCAATGTCGCAGAAAGACATCGTAAACAGTGTGCACTGCACTAGCTACCAGTACGGGTTCCTCTGTTTGGGGTTCAGCTGAGCCCAGGCTTGCGCCCATCCCGAAGGAGCCGTGCTCTTCTTCTGTGAGCGGCCCGCCCGAAGGCGAGTCCGACAAAAAGGGGTTTAGGCGATTTACGGTTTAGGGGCGCGCATACATTGACACCCCCTTGTAGGGTAACCTGCACTGCAGACTTGAGCATGCCAGATTTGGCCAGCATTACCGGCAGGAGAGCTCGTAGCATCAGCAACAAAAGCTTTCGAGACACCCGCTTGAATAGACTCCTCAATGCAGCCGTTCAGGAAAGCATGGATCTCACCAGTCAGCAAATCCATGGAGTGGAAAATCAATGTTCGGCCCGCTCAGCTAGCACACAATAGTGCACCACACCTTGATAGGGGAAGCTACTCCCTAGACAAATCCCAAGCCTCAGCAGGCCCTGCCGCTCGCTGGCACATGTTAGCACGGATTGTCTTCGCACGTGTAGGTGAACATACAGGTATACAACGAATGGAGCCAGCTCCAGGCTAATCCAGGCTAAGTGTTTCCCTGCACTCATCATGCACATGTCTTGAGCGCCACAGTCTTCATCCAAGCAAGTGCAATAAACAATCACATGTTGAGGACTGTAGCGTCGCAGCTGTCATCAATAATTCCCTTTCTGCAGAAGCCAGAAAGATAATGTGTATTTCTCTTGACCTCTCGTCTGTAGCCACGAAACTTTGCAAATGTTTGCTAGTCTCGGCCATCTATGTTCATCGACAGAACGAGAAACGGCCTGGTCTGTTCTTATTATGATGTCGGCCACATTCTGTTCGATATCTCTTACATCCCTTTGGCCAGGTAGGGGATGTTATTGTTGTCCGAGCTGAGCATGTCCCGAGCGTCAAGAGGCGCTGCAGCATGACGGTGCAGAGCGGAAGGCTGATGGTTGTCGGGTTGTTGCTTTTGGCGTCCTTCCAAACCTCCGAAACTTGCACCAGCTCTGGCACCACGCTCAAGACTTCCTGTGTCTGAAGGAAGACTTTGGAGCCACTTTCGGCGCGGTCTATCGATAACTGGTCCTCGTGGCGCAAAAGCAAGCGGGTCAGGCTGACGCAAAGGTCCCGAGCTCTGTCTCGGTGAGCTGGGGCCCCTGATCGCGGACTGTTCGCCCATCAATCTCGTCGGTCGCGCCGATCCTGGCGATTCTAGCTCCACCAGTTGTGCTGGCCTGAGCTGCTTTGGCCCTGCTTTGGTTTGGCCAGCCACTTCCAAAGTCCTCGCGTCCGCGACCCTTGCTGGCTCCTCGGGGGAACTTGTTGACGCCCTTGCCGCGGGATCCGTCTCTTGCGCCGGCGCTGTGCCTCGTTTACCCTCCCTCTGTGTGGTGTCCTTGAGAAAAGCCCTTGCCCTCAGTCTCCTCGTCGTCCTCGGTCTGCGGGGCCTCAGTATCCCGAATGGGGGCCTTCTCCGGCGGTGTTGCCGTCGTCCGTGTTCCCTCGGGATGTCGGTCGCCCTGGCTTGGTGCCCATCATGCTGCGCATCAAACTACAACTGCTACTACTATTATTGCTGCTGCTGCTGCTGCTACTACTACTGCTACTACTACTACTACTACTACTACTACTGCTGCAGCAGCGCTTCCTCTTCCAACATCACAACTCCCGCTTCCCAGAATCCTTTGTGTGCCACCTAGGTGGCTGCGGCGTCTGATTTGTGGAAGGAGGGCTCGCAGCTTCTGGGCGAGGCAGACTTCGTTGAGTTCTTGTCTCGATGCCAAAGGGCGGACGCTTGGACACCGGATTTCCTTTTCTGGTGTGCGATCTTGGATCCGTTGATGTGTTAGGTGGCTGCAACAGAATACGCTCAAATCAAGAAGCTGTAGCAATATGGGAGCATTGATACCACGTTACACCAAAGGCAAAAAATGTCCAAAACCACAAACTTCGCATATCTCACCGCAGTCCAACAAGGGATGTTGCTTGACCGGGAATCGCCATGTGAAAACAAAAGTTTCCAAAATGAAGTTTATGATGAACAGGATGCACCAAGTGACGGGGCGCGTGATAGTCAAATGAACGCAGAAATCGCCGAACGGGAAAGCGTGTTTCCGCTAAATGACGGAGGGTGTTTAAGGTTGTGATGAACCGGAGCCGCCGTGGTATCATGCCAGACTCGCCCCATCAAGTTTCGTGAAAAAATGTTGATGAAAGGGCCAATAGTTGTGATTTTGGTGGTTAATAGTCTTTTTCCTGAGCCGCCAAATGAAGGGGCGTGTTGTATGCAAAAATTGTCTCAGGAATACCATGATGTGGAATGGCCGGCCCATGGCTACGATCGGTTGAGAAATTACGCCTTTCACCATACTTCCCAAAATGCCGGCCCATTTACCCCCTCATTGCTTGCTAGTATTTTCTTAAATGAAACAGATCTCTAGCAACGCCCTTTCCTTGGGCAGTTCTGAATATGATAACTCGTAGAACGCTTCCATCGTTACCGTTCCGTCTCTCAAAGGCAGTATGTTGTTTCGATGTTCGTAACCGAGAGAATGTGTTCGCAGAGCTGTACTACATGTGCCTCAAACCTAGCCCGAAACTGCAGCCTCGAAACATGCTGAGACATCAATCCTTGCTTGAACGTGGCTTTGCGAAGACAGTCACCACACTGCAATGTCGCACACAATTCCTGAGGGGAACTAAGCAGCTCCGCAGCGGCAACGGCATGCAGAGTTCCAACGAACACAGATGCCCCATCAAAGGACAACCCCAACCCAAAGCTCGATGAATTGAACCCTTTGAGCCCTCGGTTCCGTCCTGTGCAAGTGTACAGAAGTGCAGCTTTGTGAATGCAGTGTTCAAGTCGCTTGCATTATTATGTAAGTCGATATACTTAACTTGTAGACAGTATACAGTATGCGTGGACAGGTGCGCAGACAACACACACACACACACGCACACAGGCGCCATTCAGGACTGTGTGAGCCATGAGAGAATGTGGATAGTCGTTATGGCCGTTACATTTTCATAGTCACAGCCATGACAGTACGGTACCAAGATCAATCCCTTTGCTGTACCCATGTCATAGGGTTACAGGTATCGTCATCATAGCCATCAGCTTCGGCAGTGTTTCCGATGCAGTCTAGCTCGGGAGCCGAACGTTTCAGAGCGAACCGCCAAGGCAATGCCAGTGCTTGTTGATGTGCACACAATGTTCATATCTTGTAGTAGCAGTAGCAGTTGCAATGTGCAACATAGCACACCCATTTCAAGAGCCTCGTCCTGGTGCGAAACCTTTAACCGGGAATCACGCGTAGGGACAGTGGCCGCACACGAATCACATCGGAGATGGAATTCTCAAACGGTGGATGCTCTCAAGTCCTGGGACCCAGGTTCCAAGGCAGCTCGAATGCAGAAGCTAAAGCTGCAAACTGCACAGCCACGACGAAAGCAGCAGACCCTGAATCCCTGAACCCACACCCCTTGTCCAAGGAGTCCGTCTTGGCTGGTTCTCGAGTGAAGATCTGGTCGGACAGCCGTGATCGCAAGGGCTTCAAGGGGGCCATGGCCGAGCAGGCTGGCGGCCGTGCGACGGCTCTAGAAACAGTTAGGGCAAGAAAATGTGCGGTGCGAGGTTCATCGTCTCGAGCTGGCACGTTCAAAATGAGGAGGGATCCTAGAGATAAGACTAAACTATCCTTTTGCTTTCAGGGATTACTCCCACCCTGGAGGTAAGGGATGTTTATGGCCTGTCCAAGTTGGTAAAACCGTCGTGGGGCGACGACACATGGATATTGGACGTTGGTGGCAACTTGGGCATCACCGCCATTCACCTGCACATTCGAGCACCCAAGTCCAAGCTGCTGACCCTGGAACCGAGCCCATGGAACTACATCTTGCTGCGGCTGAACCTGTTGCAGCAGCCGGATGCCTTTTAACAGATTGTTCAGTTATGCTGTCGCTGATCATTGTGATAGTGGCACAGCTTTCGAAACGTCACCAATCTGAAGAGGTATCCATTACATTGTCCAGGATAAAAATCGAACTTCCGGATGTGCAATAATAGACTGCAACCGAGACGTGAAGCCAAAAGAAACTCGCGAACCTTAATTGGAAACGATAGTCGTTGTGTTTAGTGGGAAACAGGTGAGTTCCCTTGCAAAGACGCTCCACAAGCAGCATCTGTAAGACAGGATGATTGATGCATCCGGGCGTTGTTCCCATGCTGAATTAGATGGCATCTGGGGAGCTCGTACTCTCGGAGAATCGAATTCAATCAATGTCATACCATCTTGAGAGATTGACAACTTCCGAGTGTTCATTAATTATGTAGCTGACGAAGTTGACTGCCACAGAAGTCGATGTAAACAGGCACACCAGCTCTTTGTCTCCTCTCCCCTCCTGCCAGCTGCAGGAGCCTGACAATTGCAAACGCATAGCAAGAGGGGTCTCTTTCTTGACCGAACGACAAGAGAGCTACTTTCATCAAAACAGGCTTGACAATGCTTTTGTCTTTTAAACCAGTGCAAGGCAACTCCTTTCGATTATTAAACAGCGCATCTCTTCGTTCTGTGGAGACAAAAATCATCAAAGGGCCACCAGGCTTATTGTCACCCAATGAGGAGAGACATTCGAGTTTTTTGTTGCAAGAAAGCAAAACTGCCTTGGTTCTTTACATGTTTGAGCGGGGCTTGGGTGTTGCTTCTTGTTGCTGAGAGCAGTGGGTTTGTTTCAGAAGAGATGGGATGTTTCAGCCTGGCGGCACGTGTGCACACTTGAAGTACGAAGACACCTACAGGGCCAAAACACACAACACGTTAATTCAAAAGATCTACAGCCGAAACTGGCATCGACCATGTGTTTCGGTCCAATAAATGGAATGGCCTTTCCGTGCTTGTGTTTTGCAAGCCCAAGCAGAGGAGCCCTTACTGAGAACTCAATACACCTAATGTCCTTCAGACTTACACACAGATGATGCCAATGCCCTGTCGGATGTAGGGCCCACACTGTAAATCCATCAATTATGACGTTGAAGAAAGAGTTTCGAACAGCAGTCTTGCAAAAAGGTCGATGGGACGAGGTGAAAGCCCTTTCAGACCTTTGGCTTTGTGTTGCACGACATGTTCCCTTTTAGCTCGGGAAGCCACGGGCAAGCAACAAGCCAAGAGCTTTAAAAAGATTTTGACCCTGGAAACCAAGTTGCCTTTCTCATGTACCCGTTTTTGCTGGCCCAAGCTGTCATGACCAAGGAACTTGGAGGCTGCTGGTCAGACCGTGTTCGCTTTGCATGGAGGCTTCTCGGCACTTTGCATGGAACCCACATGTTCACGAACGCATGGGGCTCCAGGAACGATGACATCTTCCAGCCCCACAGGTCCATCAAAGGAGAATTGAGCAAGCATGAGCTTGGTCACTTTACCGCTCCGCTTCGGACACTAAATGAAGTTAAGGCAAATTATGGGATCAAGCATATCAGGCTGATGAAGCTTGATTGCGAAGGTTGCGAGTGGACTGTGGGCTTGAGCATGCTGCATAACGGCGATTGGAAATGGTGGACATGCTGTTCGGGGAACTACATGCGCTCTGTCAGAACGATGTGTCAGATGCAGCTGAGTGCCTACCGAGAAATGTGTCCACAGCGGCAGGAAGAGATCTATGGTATTTTTTGTGCGAAGCCCGAAAGTTCCCCCTGGAGTGGGGTTGTGAAGAGCCGCGCTTTGCTGGACTTGGTGCCTCGGACTGCACAAGCAGTCTTTGTTGCGGTTTTTTGAGCAGAGCCCCAACAGCCTCGCCTCTTAGCCTCCATGAAGTCAGGTCGAGAGGTAGCCTCGAGTTTGGCAGCCCGGATCTGCGGAAGCTCCGACACCAAAACCTGGCAGTGTGCCTGGGCCAAGAAGCTCTGTAAAGACCAGGGCCGGAAAGCTCCTCATTGCCACACAGCATAATGGGCTTCAGTTCAGGTTGGTTGGAGGTTTCAGTGACACCATCCCTGCAGCCGATTGCTGTGCTGCTTAGCCACCTCGGACAACTCGTGACATCTCGACCTTCATTGCTGGCTGTGCCAGCAAGCTCTGCGAGATGAATGCCAATCCTGTCGTCGCGCGGCCGTCGCCTTTCCACACGAACCCTGACCGTGAACCTGATGCAGCACCATGCATTCTGGATTGTTCATCCACGCTGGTCTCATTACACGACATTCTTTTCAAGAGCCGCCGTGTCGAATCTACTGCTTGCGAACTCGAGACTGAGTGAGTGACGGATTGTGTATATCGGTTGCAGGGCTTGGTTGCACCGAAGCGTTTTCTAAATTCAATTTCTCGGGCCTCGGGTTGATGTGGGAGAAGGACTTTGGAATTCAGGGATATGGGGGGTTCAGAATCAGAACAGTTTAAGCTGCGAAGGCTTCCCGTTGTGCTTCGATTCACAATCCCTTGTGACACCATTAGTTTTGTAGACTGAAAGACGGGATGATCTTAATCGTTGCTGTTTGATATGGATTTCAGCTTGTCTTGCACAGAATGAAACATGTGGAGCGCTCTCAGGCCTTTGATTTTGCACAGATATGGTGTAAATGTCTTCGGTATTGCGAGTGCGAGTTAGCCAGATTTGTTTCTTCATGGAAGTGCATACGTACATTGTCAGGCGCTCCGCGGCCCCCCCCCCCCCCCCCCCCCNNCCCCCCCCCCCCCCGCTTCTCCCCCTTCATGGCCCATGGTCCAGGATGCCCCCCTGTGTGAGGTGGGGTGTGGGATCAGTGGGATCCCTCTTCGCCCTGTGGGGTGGTTGTCGGGTTTTGGGGTTTAGGGTTTAGCTGGAAGCTGTTGACTTTGGGGTTTAGGGTTTGGTGACGGTTTATGTTCTGCTTTACGCTGAGAGCCTGCATTTAGGCGAGGTCTAGGGTTGGGTGTAGGGCCCAATGGTATGGAGCTAGTGATGACCATTTCTATTTTCNNATTTTCTAACCATGCACCCCCCCCAGCACCCAAAAAACAACAACCTGTACCTCAACCCCAAACTCACCAAAAGACTTATAGGAATACCCATATGATGAACCCCATACTAAGCATCAAATAATTGAGCGTTGAACGAATTGACGAAGAAACGGATTTCGCCTTAGAAAAGGAAGAATGGAAGAACACTGCAAATTCAGGTATGTATAGTATATACATATATGCAAACGCTACGAGACCCTGAGTTTTTCTTATTTAAGGAATCGATACAAGTAAAGTATTACAAAGAAAATAAGTGCTGGCTTAGCACCACAATCGATTGGTATAAGGTTATATTTATGGGAGAAGAGAAGAAAGGAAAAGAACAGATTAATAAAAGAAAAGGTTCCAGGGGTGAACCTGGCCCCTGCGTTTTAGCACCTTCTGCATACCAAGGCACATGGAATAGACGGTTCATGTTTCAGATAGAAAGCTAGGTGTAACCCACAGGAAGACAAACGGGCATGTAAATGAACGAACGGAAGCCATGTACTTTGATGTTTTCACAGCTGCGGACAGATGGATGAGTATGCAGTCGCGCGCAAAGTGCCTGTGACATTTTGCTGGCAAACGATGGCAAGTGCAAAGCATTTCTTTTGAGCAGAGCAGCCGAATCGCAAACTACGCTGTCAAGCAACTTGGAAAAGACGTACGACATCGCGCACTCGCACTGTGATGATATTTCCATGATCAAAAGAATGTTGGCCGTTCGCTG